AAAATATCTACCAAGTTTCAATAGTCTTTACTGCACCATTTTAAAGAAATAAAATATAATAAAATATAACTTGAGATATTCGTGCTGTCGGCACGAATTTTTTAGTTTTGAAAGTATTTGACGTTATTAAGAATTGAAATCAGAGTATTTTCACTATCAAAAGTTTAGGCTCATAAGTGCAAAAAAATCGTTTATGATGTCCCAACTAATGCCCAAAAATTGCCTAGTAATGCCCAGTAATGCCGCAAATCTGTGCACCACAATGCTCTCAGCGGTTTCCCCCTTGTTGAAAACACTCTACTGGCTAACAAGTATTTCAAAAAGTACTTTAGACGATCCTTAACCCCTGCCGAAAATAATTCTACAAAATTCTACAAATAAATCAAATACAACTGCCAGAATCTACGAAATTCTACGTAAATTTAAAAAGTGTTGATTAAAAAGTTATGAAAATCAACATGAAAACGCTAGAATTGGAACACTTTTGTAATATTCTACAAGTAAGCAGATGTTTTAATTCTTTAAGATTTTGTTGTTACACAAATTTTTTAAGGATGTATTGGACGTACAATCTTAGACAAAAGTGCATGAAATTGGAAATACTTAAATATCTACTCTTAACGCATAGTAAATCTAGATGTAAGAAACTTGAACGATAGTTGGAGTCTTATTTGTATTCCTACAAAGGTATTTTTCACTTTACAAATGTTTTTTCCTGAATTATAAAGATAAAATAAGATAAAACAAGATAAATAAGATAATAAGATAAAGTAATGCCTACTGGGCATTAATGGGCATTGGTGTACAAGATTTTGGTCAGCGGTTTCCCCTTCGGTTTTCAACGTCCAACTTCAATCGCAAATCTTTTCTGAAAACGATTACACGGTCTAACAATCAATTTGCATTGGTAAAAACGGACGTGAGATAGTGGAAAAATACCTGGCATGCTCTGCATTTGAAAAAAAGAATATTTTCGTAGCTCGCGCCGAAGAAATCGCCGCTTTACATTGTCGCGTAAAAGGGAGAAATTCTTTCAGGGCCCGGCCAACCGATCGACATGACGCCGTCACCCTACGTCTCTCGCATAAATCAAATCGACGCCGCTCAGCTGGACACGGAGATCTACAAGGTACTGAGGAACCAGGCCAGGGAGATCGCCAGGTACGGCGCGCCCGGCAAGCTCGACAAATGGCAGGCGGAGGTGGACGCCGTCCTGAAGCTGCTGATCTGGAAGTTCTCGCTGCAACGAGGCTCCTCCACGTTCGGCCAGCGACTGCTCAATCTGCACTACGCCAACATCGATCAGCGGAAAGCCGTGCTCTACCTGATTCTGAGCGTCCTCCCGCAGTACCTGGGAGAGAAATTGGCCGGCGAGAAGCTGTCCGGACGCGGCGCGACCGGCAGCGCGCTCAAGTCGCTCGTCGAGTGGACGACGAACGCGATCAGTCTCCTCGAGGTGGTCAATCTGCTGTTCTTCCTCCATCGGGGCGTGCAGCCGCGCGTGATCGAGTTCCTGCTGGGCCTGTCCAGTCAGTCGATAACGACCCACCGACCTAGAATCATCGGTTACTCGTACATGACGAGGGAACTGCTCTGGCACGGTCTGATGGAGCTCTTCACCGTCGGCATACCCATGATAAACTTCCACTGTCTGAGGCACGCGGTGACGAGGCTCTGGCGGCGAGCGGAACCGTCGAGCGGCCTGTTCCCGGTGATGAACGCCGCGACCAAGTGCGCCTACTGCCGCGAGGACCCGATCCTGCCGTCGCACGCCGGCTGCGAGCACCTGTTCTGCTACTACTGCCTGCGGGCGCACTTCACCGCGACCAGCGCCTTCCAGTGTCCCGTCTGCGACGCGGAGCTGCGCGGCGAAGATATGAAGAGATACGCGGTCGCGAGCGCACCTCGGAGCGACGACGGCGAGGAGGAGTCGGACGATAGCTTCGAGAAGGTGGACGATGGATAGGCGCGGAGGTACACTCTTATATTTTCAGTTTTAGTTTAATGCGTCTCGATGCCTCCAAGTGACGACGTGGTTTTGTGCTGGACGCGAGTCACGGTTTACCTGAACTGCCTCTGCCAGTGAAAACGACTGTATGTTGTGCGCGACAACGTGTTAATTCCGCAACGAGCATTTTTTAATCGAACGAGAGAAATATGTCGCGAAATAGCGACGAGTCAAATAAGTGCGACGATAATCTCGTTACGTCGACGTTAATTAAATCCTCCCGGAGTAATATATTAAACATAATAATTAATAAAGAAAGAGACTCGCCTCTGATCGCCGCGTCGACTTGTCGCGCGAAGGGGTGCACGCGTGTGATATTAATATTTTGTTTTTATTAAAAATGGCAATATACAAAATCTTCTTTATTCTTCACTTCAATACAACAAATCCCGATTTCAGGCGACTCCGACATTCTCGCATTTCCTACTTTCTTTCATCCGAAACAAACAATAATAGATCAATATATACTCTCTTGGCTCTTATATCAAAATTAGATTAGATTATATCATATAAAAATATTATGCTGCGCTGTATATTATAAAACGCTTCATCTGCCGCCGCGCAGGTCGATGGATCGATCGTTTTACATGCAATAATGACACATTCATCGATTAATTTATCATTCAGTTGCTGCACCTGCGCTCGATGGGCGGGCACGTCCCCGGACTTGTTACACGAGAAACAACATTATAAACACTATAGCACAGAAAGAGGGGGAAAAAACGCGAAACACATACACATAAATTAACACTTTCCATCCGCCTCTCCTACGACACTACAAATTTCATTTGAATCCGAACTCCTACCGCCTTTCCCTGGAATGTATGATTTATAGTACGAGTATAGCGCAGTTTCGAAATCCCTTCTCGAAGGATCGGGCTGTTACTTTACTTCCTGAGGTATCCGCGTTTACATTTGCGCTCCACTCTAGCGAGACGCGCGGGAAGCGCGTATTAAATTGCACAATTCTATTTCTTTTTTCGCATTCCACGTAGCGCCTTTTGCGCGTGTGTATCGCGCGCGCGCGCGCGTTGGTTTTTGAAATTAATTTCAATTTCTAGGCGTTTACGTTTCTCAAAGTTGCCACTTTTACCACTTCTCCCCTCGGGCGAACTCGTCGACTATTCTCCGCACTCCCTGCCGGCGCTTCAGCGACGACACCGAAGAGCGCGTCTTTCGCCACCGAGGAGTCTGCGATTTTTACGTTGATCTCGCCAAGCGGGAAAACAGTTTCCTGATATTTCGAGTATGAAAGAGAGAACACGATAGTGCGAGGCATTTATACTTATCGATATACGGTTGGCGCATGGCGCCATTACAGCTGCTGATTTACGGCGGTATCGCGTCTTGGACGAGATCGGTATATTTCCCGAATAGCTTGCGTTTCACAATTTTTCGAGCTTGTCAGTCTGGTGAGATAAGGTGTGATGTACTGTGTACAAAATTGAAAGATTCGATGCTAACGCGCGATACCTGTCTCGCAATATCCTTTTTAAAGACCCGAGAAAATTAATAAAGTTGAGGAAATTCAATATCAGTCGGAAGAGACTTAATTCCGGCAAATTGGATTAATTCACTTCAAATTTGACGAGTATTTGAAATTTTAAATGGAAATTGTAATTGGCTGAAATTTCCGCAGCTTTGAGATTAATTTTCGGAAAGTTTTTAAAAGTGGATTAGATCTCGCTAAACCCTCCCTGATCGAAGAGTATCTTCAAATTTTACAAGTAATCGCAAATCTACCGTTGAAACGAAGAAAAATCGTTGCGCAACGATTGCAGCCCGTGGACTCGGCATCTTTCCGAGATTCTCAGTGGTCTGTTATTTCTTTTTTCCCTTTGTTAAATCCATGAATCATGTTTCATGGAAATTTAGAACCAAGGGAAATGAACGTCACTAAAGACGCCGGAAGTTAAAACGGATTGATCCATAATTTCAGCAAAATTCTCAAATGTCGAATTATATTTGAAGTCAATCCCACGAATTACAAGCTTAATCCACTTTAACTCCGAGCGATTCGTACAAATCGTATGCCGAATGAGTTAGGGAAATGGCGAGTCCACAGTTTGCTCTAATGAAACAATGATTCGCAGCGTTTTCTCTGCCCCGGTTTCCGACGCAAAGACACAGCAAGGAAAAAGTATGCTTGCGATACGCAATTTACAAGATTTACAGCGCATTCTCGTAAACGCAACGGAATCATCCGAGTCGCGTAAATTTCATCATCACACGGGCGCGAGGTCGGGGCGCGATTGCGACTATACGCATAAGCTGATTCTGGGCTGACGTTATCCCCGTTTTTCCTTTCTTTTTCGAGAGAGAGAGAAGGAGACAGAGAGAAGTAATGTCATGTTATTTGCTGTATGCAAAAAATGTCAAGTGAATAGGGACTAGAGAAAAGTGATAGTGAACCAAAAAAAACCTGGTTTTACAGTTTGGAGATGTATCTTCTCTCTTCCCGACGTAAATCAATTCTCGTTAATTCTCGTTAACCGAAACGCTCGAGAACACTAAGAAACTCTTCGTTTGTCGTCGTCGTCGTTGTTCTCCTCGCACGCGCATTTCCCTCTCTTTTTAACGCTAATTTCCGCGACTATACCTATTTTATACCCGTATACGCTAAACCTTTGCACGGGAACAGTGCGTTATTCACGTAGGAACATTGACGGATTTCTTCTTAGGACTAGACGAGAGAAACCGTCGATTATTGGCTGGCGAAGGGACGATCTTCACCGTATGGTACGCAGGGTGTTACCACCTCGAATTCCTTGCTCGCATATCTTCGAAAATCGCAAATACAGAGAACAGGCGTCGGGAGAGGAGGCGGGGGAAAAAAATTGTCGAGATCCGAGAGCGCTCCTTGCCTCTCTGTTACTTTCGAGAAATTTCACTCTTCGATCGAATTTTTTTTCCTTCGACCCTCCCGCGCTTTTCAAGTTCCTGGATTCCGAGGCACCCTGTCGTAAGGAACGAAATGCCAACGACTTTCGAACGAATGCTCGTTAGACTCGAGGACGCTTGCGCTGCTTCGTTGATTCACGATTATGCGTACGTGTACATTTTATCCGCAGCGACAATGAATATATATATATATATATATATATATATATATTACACATGATACTCGTTCAGTCGCGCACACTTCATGCTTACATTTGCTCTCCTCGGCGATTATCGTTTCGCAGCCCTTTACCGATCAGAACTCTTTTAATGGATAACGATCATCGCTGCCAGAAAAGAAAAACGCTATCTTTTGCCCCTTATAAGGGGATGCAGCCCTTAAGGCGGGCTTAATTGCAGGGGCAATTGGATAAAGGTGATATGCGGCATTCAGACAACGTAAAAATTTAAAGAACCTTGTGAAAATTGTTCAAAGAGATCTGCATTTTTCCAAGTGGAAAAAATCTATCTTAAGTTTAAAGCTTTTCTAAACGTCTTTTAATCTCTTCTGAAACTTACAATCGTACTAATTGTCGCTATCGATGAGATTTAACGAAAGTGAAAATCTTTAAAAGTTATGCCGTCACAAATATAATAACGAATATCCCTGATACTACCGTAAGAAGGTACAACGGTATTCGCAACTTCTGCCCAAGTTTTAGAATTTTGTTGTTAAAAATTTCACAATTTTTCCGCTCGAGCAGTTAACTGCTGACGAGACTTTTGTAGATATTGAAATATTGAATTTCACGGATTATTCTCTTAAGCGGTAAAATTGTCAAAATGTATAGATTATTTTGTATGACATTATTTGTTAACGCGTTAACGAGCTTTCGCGGCATATCATCTTCATCTACTTGTTCTTGCAATTGTTATCATACAATCCTCGTGACAATCGGATTGCACGAGCGCTCCAGAGAATCTTGGGAGCTCTCTATTTTAGATCGTCGTTATTATCACCGTTGAGCGAAAAAAAAAGAAAACGGACAATAGAACCAGACAGTCCAATATTATATCACACGTATTTGCGAAATATCCTTATTCTCAGTGACTTATCCCTCTTAATGTTCCGATCTATCTCGCGAGCGCATAAATAATTTACGCTTAAAAAGATTTCGCAAAAGACTTAGTCAAGAACTCTTCGCAGTAAAATCTTTCGTTAGGCATGTTCGATTAACTCGATCGCACGATCCGCTCTTATTTCTACTCTTTACACGGAAATCTGACGAGTCTCGAGATTAACGATCGTGGATCTGTGATCGCGCGATTCAAGCATTTCATTGAGAGAACCGATTTTCTCTCCTCTGCAGAACAATCGTACTTTCTTCGTTCGATTTTAATTCGATATGTATACATAACACGTTACATTAACATTTGAATAATAATGCGCGTGACTCGAGAACCAATTTACCTAACGCTTTCATTCCTTTGTTCCAAAAAAAAATTAACAAAAATAACGCTTAAAAATTCGAATAAATTATTACCAAGAACGAGATATATCTTATGTCTATAAAACAATCGTTTTGCGAAATCGACTGCGGCCAATGGAGCTCTCTGCGTGCGAGGATAATCGGAAGAATCTAAACTTGGCAATTTATCGTTTTTAAATGCGTAGACTCTATGTAAATCCTACTTGCATACGTCGTCCAAATTATCACAATTCTCATGTCATAAATAAATCTCAGGCGAAACAGAATTGCATTAAAGAGAGATAACAATTTTCCATATCTGAACATCAACTAGCGAATTTTGTGAGTCTGTTTTATATATAGCTTTTACATGTATATATATGTGTATATAATATAGTTTATATATTTTTCGCTATAATACAATTTTTAATTTCGTTTCTCCGACTCTGCCAAGTTTAGAGTTAATTTAATAGCGAAGGCTTCCTATAATTAACGTGACGATCGTCGTCGCAAATTGTAGTTTTGGTATCGATACTTAATTCAACTGGCTCCTCGAAAAGTATCGGTTGCGCGGAGAGTGACACATAGAATACTTGCGCTATAGAATTCGTTTTACACCGTTCCGTCTTCAACACGTGCTTCACACGAAAAGTTCTTGCGGTCTATTGTTTGACGTGCGTCCAGCGTCTTTCGCGAAATAATTAATAAATACTTTGCGACTTATACTTACTTTGTAAAACTCGAGATCGCAACCTCACGCGGGATCGGCCGCGACTGTATTCGATTGTGCCGCGCGAACGTCGAAATTATCGCCGCTCGCTCATTCCGTCGGTCTCTCAGACGGGCAATACAGTTTTGGCGGGCCCGCGGTCGCGCATTCGAGCTTAGTCTGAATTAAATATATGTGAATTTTTGCTAGGACGAAAGGCCGCTGAACACACGGGACATCCCTCGCCCATCGCATTTCATTTTTTAAATTTCTAATAACTGATATAAACTCCTTTTTGATTTTTTGGATTTCTTTTTTTCTTTAGATTTTATTCGAAACATTTATGCCCGATGTGTTTCATGCATACACACACACGCATGCCCACATTCACTCACACATACCGATCACCCGGTCATCAAGCGAATCACCACACGATGTAACGAACAGGACGCGCGCGTCGACGTTTCGCCAAAGTTCGACGCATAATTTCACACGATTCTTCCCCGCCACGCAACTCGCGCGCTTTGTAAACGTCAATCGCAGAGATTAGATGATTAAGATTGTTAAGATTCACGTGGAAGAACTTGTTAACGAGACGATAACGACGCGAGCGTCCATCCTGGATAACGAACAAGGACAATAATAACGAATATCCTTAAATCCTAAGGCACCTTTCGGCCGCGCGCCGAGAACGGCGAAAAAAAATTGAGGAAAAAAAAATAATACAGCCGGTTCTCGGTCACAAAAATAACTTTCTCCTGATACTTAAAGTAATTTGAAATCATCAACATGCAAACTATTTGGCTACTCGTACTGCGTCTGTCGAGTTCCCACGGGCTGAATAGCCAGATAGCCTTCTTGGTTTTCCGTAAATCCGCGTGCGTGTCCGTCCGAACGGCCGATGCGACAGCGTAATGGTCCCCGCAATTACGCACGCGATCGGCATTATTAAGTACGTATCTTCTTCCGTAATTTCGATCGATGTGCCACGGATCTGCGAGATCGGCTTCGAGAGGCGCTGACACGCCATTACGTTCGGAACGAATAACGTACACGCGATCATTTCTTTCCTTTTACCATTTGGTGTCTAGATTACACTTGCCCATCGACGTTGGCGCCGACGACGAGGATGCCTTACGTTCAGCGCCGGGCGCAGCGCTTCCAGAGAACGGGCTAGTTCGTTTGTTCATTTCTGAAAGAGAAAAGAATCGTCGGGATTAGCAGTGGTACGGAAAGAAAGTGTGGCACGTGTCCAGCTTTGTTCGTTACTGTTGTTTCTCGCGATACCTAGATAAAGAAATTTCAAACTCGTCACATGCAAAGTATTTGGTTAGTCGGATAGCTTCGCAGAGATTTCGAGAAAGAGTTTTACGGAAATGTAGTTTTCTTTCCAGTGGCAGTTGACAGAGTGCGGAGATCAGCTTCCTCAAAGTCTTTGTTTTGCTATTAGAGTATGAAAATTCACTTAATTAGGCTGCTCAGAGTTAGTTAAGCTGCCCGTGCAAAAGCAGTCTTACGTACCAGATATTAATAGCATTATTTTGCGCCTCGCACCCCAAGCGGTAATCCCAATTTCACAGAGGTCCTTCTCTGTCAGGGAAGGAAACGTGGCCATGTCCACCTCGTGAGACGTGAACAGGCCTAGCGAATGAAAAGAAAGCGGTGCTGCGTTTCGATTTTTTTTTTCAAGCAAAAGCAGAAAATAGAATAAAAGCAAAAGCACTCAGTGGAAGGCGTGCAATCACCAGGCGATTGTAGCTCGTTTCTATACTCACGTATATATTTCTCCAAGCCGATGCTAGTCAACATGCTGCCCAGATCATTGAAACGATGGGAGGATGTAATTTTGTTCAAGTGGGAGGTCGGCGTGTGATCCATATAATTTGAGGCCATCCCAATCTGTCCAATGCGATCCTTACTCGAGATAATACTACCGAAATCCATCTCGGTACTGTACACCGGCGTAGTCGGTTCTTTCCACAAGTCCAACGGAAGTGATGTCAGCTCCTGCAACGTAAACATCCCGGCGTCAATGTCTCCATTTTTTTATCAACATCCGTTGACTAAGGGCCGGCTTTTCCAATCTCTCGGTAAGCTAACTAATAGTTGAATGTTACATGTCTATCTTCGTCTAATTTGAAGGTAAAACAAAGACCTACATTTTTAACTATTAGTTAACTTACCAAGGGGTCGGAACAACCGGCCCTGAAATTATCATTAAACAAATTGTCGTCAGAGAGAAATGACTATTCACTTTAAATATCTCACATAGATGCTAATTTTGTACTTTAATAAAACTGCAAAGAATGTCAATGCAGATCCTTGCTTGACTTTACTCTTTCGTAAATTTTGGAGCTATCGCGATTTGATGATTTTTGATACAACGAAAAAGCCCGACATGACTACCTTGCTTAAATCACTCGTAGTTATGGGCGGAATACTCTGGCTGAGGCCATAACCGGACCAAGCGGACGTTGGTACGCGGAAGTCGTTGTTGCTTGACTTATTCTGCATCGCCTTTGTGGCCAGCAGTTTCTTCTGCTCGTAATCGAAGGGCGTGAGATTCTGCTGCGCAGCCATCTCGAGTGATTTCTTCTCGCAACCAGGTGCACGTCGATCGGTGACCGGTAAATCGGACAACATACTAGATAGATCCGCTGGGAAGGAAAACATTTATTTGTAACGGTAATGATCGATCGTTAACAACAGCTAAATCGAATTGGCTTGAAACGTTTGACTTACCTAAGTTGGCATTAACATCCGTAGGGTTGACTGGTGAAATGTTACGAGGACTGATGGCAGGACTAGATAAAGAGCTAGAAACGCTGCTTAGCGATGAATAAGCTGCAAATAAATTCGTCGCATAAAAATCAAACCAGTTTTCGACTCGGCGTTTAAAACGGAAATAGCCTCGGGAGAAATGTTAAATATTAGAGTATATATTAACACTTTGATTGCCAATTCTACATGAACTGATCTTTTTATTCATAATTCTTTTTCTCATTCGTCTAATTTATTTTTGTATAGAGAGCAAAACATTTTCAAATTCAAATTAAAACTTCAGTAAAACACTTTTTGTATATATATACACATCTCTCTCTCTCTCTCTCTCTTTCTCGTCTGCAAAAATAAAATCTAATAATGTTACGCGTGCGTTTGGCGTCTTTTTAGTTTTTACACTTGTAGCGTGAAAATAATGGGAAAAGCGTGGCAATCAGAGCGTTAAGAAAGTAATTGGTAAAAAAAAATTGGCGTAGAGTAAATCACTCACCACTGCTACCGTCTTTGCTATCTATTAACGAATTGGCGTTCAGGCCGTGGATACCGGAAAAGTTGGTCGGTACATTATTATGGTGAAACCCTCCGATACCAGGCGGCATCACGTGGTTCGATAATCCATGGGGCCCGTGGGAAGTTCCCATTATATTGTTGTGCATCATGTGTTGCGTCGTCAGCAGGTGATTCAAATGAGAATAGGGGAACGGGCACATCGACGGAATATAATGATGAGGGAGGCTCCAGTGTGACGACAATCCCAGAGAATTCGGTGAATGCGAGATCGGTGATACGCAGTACGGTGAATTTTGCGTGTTTACATTTAACATGCTCGAGAAGTTTTCCGGTATGCCGCTAATCAGGTTGTTATTGGAGCCTAATTGAATATTTAAAGAATTTAGATTAACGTTAAAGAACAAAAGAACGTTCTTTTGTGTGACGAAAGAGTGAACATAAGTTGGAGTGGATTCGGCCTTTTCTACAATTCTTCTTTAATTATCAACTCGAAAATACTAAATTACAAAACATTGCGTCAAAATGTATCAAAGGATTCTTTACTTGTGAAAAAATAATGAATTTATTGGAGACTAGTCTCTAAAAGTCACTCGGTGCATTATACAGGAATAATTCAGCGCTACATTGTGAAATTCACAGTGTGAATCAGTGAATACTCACTGTTTTCCGTGATAATCCACTGATTGACTTTTACAGAGCGTGGAAAAATGGAGCGCTGTGCCGCATCGATCGGTTTGACGCTATTGCATTTTTTTCCCGATTACGATCTATATCCCAATAAACAACACTCACCGTCGTTATTGGAATTGCCTTGGAAAACATTGCCAGCATTCGGAATGTGATAAGTAGGCGGTATATCGGCGAGAACCATAGGCTCGTCCAGCCCCAGCAGTTGCTTCCGCGCCTTGTAAATGTTACTGGCCTTTCTCTCGATCCCCTTGATAATCACGGAGAGCGTACTCTGTTTTGGCTTGTGGCGAACGTTGATAAACACGTCCAGAGACTGCATGAGCTGGGAGATCTTTTCGGTATCCACGGATGCGGTCATAGAATCCTCCGGCAGATCGAACATAAGTACCAGTGGCAACGAGCCCTAAACACGCAATCATCGTCACGGTAGTATCGTTATATAGAGTGGATATAAATGAATATTTATAAAATATTTATAGCAAGTCAAATTGCAGAAAAAGAAATAATACAGTTATTTCGCAATCGAGCACAGTTTAGCAGAATAAATACATTTTGAAGCTTTAAATTGCGATATGCAATGTAAAGATTTGTGAAAATTGCTAAAATGGAAAGAACATAACAAGATTTTTACAAAGAAAGAGAATAGTTCTATAAAGTAAAATAATGATGCGTTACTAAATATTAGAAGGAGAGAAGATCAGGATTAATTATAGAGAGCCGGACGTGTGTAAATGTAACGACTTACCACTAACTGTTGTCTGGCCAAGTAAACGTTGTTTATGTCGCCAGTAATAGTGACGTTGCTTTTTTTCAAGCTGGGTATATTCGGGTCGCCGGCATCCGGGAACATAATCTGCGTGGCGGTACGTTGCATTATCATCTTCAGATTGCTACTCTGTTTTCCGAGAACGATGCTATGGTGTTGGGGTGAGATCTCCATCGACATTTGTACTTGGATTTGACTCTGCGGGAAGAAACACGGGAAAAATTAGTTTCCGAATAAAGAACAGGAATTTTCGAAAAACGTGGCAAAGGTACTACTTTTCTTTTCGATAAGATAAGAAAGTGATCAATTTCTATGACATGCATTCGAGATACTGTTAATTATCAATTCAAGAAACGCTTAGAAAAGAAATGAATCGCAATACAGGAACAAGACGGTTTTCATAAGAAACTAAACAAAATTGCGGATTTAATTTTCAGACTTAGTCTGGAGATCGATTTTCTTTCTCGAAACAAATCGGCCTTTCGACTCACAGCTAAATTTTTGCACATATGACGGATCAGCAGAAACGTCGCCTCTTTGACTTGGGAAACCTCCCACTCGCAACCCTTGACAACCACCAGGGTAGCGTGCAGCTTCGGTCTTGTGCGAAACATCACCTGCACGTTGTACTTCTCTTGTATGTCCACCACGTACTTCGAGCCGCAGTCTGGCATGCTCTGCGAGGCGCCCATTATAGGTAGCTCGAAGGAAAAGATCAGAGGCGTCAGATTCTAAAAGAAACAGGGATGTAAGCCGATGTTTTCTCCAACGTTTCATCCTGAGGTGGGTATACATGAGCGAACCAACAACGAACGAACAAGCGAATGCAAATTCTACGCCAGTCGAAGCATTCGAGGGAGACGTTTACCGTATAAATAGATTACAGAACACTCGTTAGCGTTCGCTGTTCGTTCATCGTGTTCGTTCCTCCGACCCACCTTTCTATAGAATATCTCCCAAAAATCGCCCACTACTTTTACACCCTCGACCATGCCGATTTTTATTCTATCGCGCAACACGTATATTTAACACAATATTAAATTCATAGCACCCAAGCCTGAAATAGAAACCCTCAATTAACGTGGCGTTCAATTAATTGAGAAATAGGTTTTTGTCTCCTCTGGAAATGCAACCAACGTCTAGCATGCAACTTCCGGCCGCACCGAGTACAAAGACCGAAGGGGAAACCGCTGAGGGTATTGTGGTGTACAGATTTGCGGCATTACTGGGCATTAAAGGCATTTTTGGGGCTTTAATTTGGGCATTAGGCCCTGCTGGGGCATTATAAAGATAAAATAAGATAACAAGATTAAGTAATGCCCACTGGGCATTAGTGGGCATTGGTGTGCAAGATTTTGCTCAGCGGTTTCCCCCTCGATTTTCACAGTAGCTCGGTCGCTCGCGTTCGGTATTCGCGCGGAGTGATTACCGGGCATCAAAACTGTACAACTTCCGGGATATCCGGGACACGCGTCTTGCGAGAAATCTCACCCTGACACGAGCGCGGGCGCACTCGACGCTCTCAATCACCCCGGCGATGGAGACCTGATTGCTCTTGTCTTGGTGATTGCTGCGGTTGCTGTCTGGGAAATGGATGTGGCAGCCGGTTTCCTCCATCACTCGTTTAATTGTCAGGCCGCCTTTGCCGATGATGTGCGAATGGTCGGTGTAACTAACGTCCAGCTTCATGGTCACTCTATTACTTTGCTGAAAATCAAGTTACGAGATTGATTGCCTGTCGAGTCGATATATCAGATTTGCAATTCTACATTTTTATTGCCGATTATATGGCCAATGTCGGTTTTGGTCAGTCAGGATTTTGTATTATCAATTGAGAAATTTTGAAAATTAAAATGACATCAGTAACGATGGTCTCTCCCGAAATTATCGCTAAATGTAATCCACACGGGAAAAAAAGTCTGATAGATTCAACCAGTCGTCTGTTAAAAAATGGACGAATCAGAATTCCTTTAGGATTTACCAGATGTGTAATGAAGTCTAGCAAACTTCTGGTTATGACATATCGAGCGCTATCGTGCTAACTAGAAATTCTATTTGGTTTAGCCGAAATACATTCTATCATACATGTCTTGATACAATCGAAGCATTTTTTCTCAGTGCAGAGATTCGCTCTGGTGAAAATTAAAATTGCGATTTTTGATACCACTGATAAACACACGGAGAGAACTTTCTCTTAAAATTTACCTTGAAAATCGTGGGACAACGTGGCATTTTGAACAACTGTGCGAGACTTTTTTAACATCATGCCATACATTCTGCCAGTAAAATGTATTATTACTAGTAGAATGTACGGGTAAAATTTGAAAAAAAAAACTCTCGTAAAATTCTTCGAAATGCCACATGACTTTCGGGACAAATTTTACGAGTAAAATTCTCTCCGCGTATTAATAGAAAAGCAGAAGAGTTTCTACAAAAATACCAACGGATGCTCGGATGAGAATTTTTAATTCTTTATCGCCAAATAATCGGCTGCCGAGAGAAAGCGCGACAATATCTCCTACGTATTTATTCATTCGGCATATTTACGCATTGCATTCCGCGCGAATGTAATCTCTTCTCCGGCAATTTACATTCGTTACATTCCGTATTTCCAGCCAACTTGGAGATCGTCGACTTTACGCGCGTGCACGAGTCCCTCGGACCGTATCGCCGATCCGCCGCGCAACAACTCGTGCGCGCAACTTTAGATATCGCGTGGCTGAACGTTACATAAAGTCACGCGATAACGTCGCGCGATCCACCGTGCAACTTCAGGAATTCCTTCCTGGCCGTGTACGTATAATGAGTCGTCGTCGTCGTCGTATCACTTCGCTGACGAGGCCGAATGTCCGAAACATCTGCTCGAAACATCTACTTTGCAACGATAAAATCGCTACAGTTGCGAGCGCAAAAAAAAACCACGCGAAAGGAGTACAAAGTAAGAAGGCTCGCGCTGATAAAATCAATAGTTTTAAAAACAAAGGGCGGAAAAGCCCAAAGCCGGTTATTCGCGCTGACAATTGTATTTTCGACTCGGCGCACTGAGAAAAATGTCCGATTAAATATAATCGGATAATCCAATTACATAATAACAAACGGATATATCCAATTAAATTGTGTATCCGGTGAAAAATACGATCGGTTTTTCAATCGAATTTCATCGGTAACTGCATTTCATCGGATGTATCCGTAATTCGATCGGAAAACGTAATCGGAAAACACTATTTAATTGGTTTATCCGATGGAAATTTTTCTCAGTGCGCGAATCAATTTTATTTGTTGGCTTTGTTTTTAAAAGATTTACAAGAATGAAATACCCGGCAGGTTCCTCGCGGTGAGAAAAGTAAGACGACGCCAGATCGGACGGCAATTTGCAATTCTTATACCTCGACTGAATTCTGCTGGACAAAATCCGCGATTTGCAAAAGGATAATCGTATTTATCAGTCGCGTTGAATTCAACGTCTACTTTTACAACGTTGAAACCAAGCAGGCAGAAGAAAGAGAGCCGCGGCGCCTCGCTCGACCCATTTCGTCCGTAATTCAGTATTTCGGAAACGTAACCAGGCGGACGCGGCTGCGATTGCGAAATTCAGGACGTCGACATCCTGGCGTCGGCACGAAAAGATATTGAATATCCACGCACGTGTCCGACCGAGCTCCGTAAATACCCTCGCGCTGTTTACGCACTATTCGCGGTCCGTAATTAGCGCTATATATACACAAGTGCCGCTGCCGCGCCACTTTTGCATGCTTGACGCAAAGCATGACATCTATTTTAAAATGTCCGTGCACTTGCCGCGATTGCAATTGCTAGAGCAGATCACGCGAACCGCGAAGCGGCGTAGGAGGAGAATCAAAGAGTGCAATTTTATCCACGTCCCTCTCTCTCTCTGTCTTTCTCTGTCTGGGGTATGCGTGTTCCTTTCACACGTCCTATACCCTACCCCGCTTCCGTCTCCGTGTATTCGCGTATCTCTGGTACGCGCGCACGTCGGAATGTACATTCGACAAAGTAACAGGAATCGATCGTTGCGCTCGGTATGGCTGGCATAAAGCGACAGGTCCGGCTCGCCTGTCTTCTCGCGATTTAACGGGACCGCCCGGTAACGTTTCGCCGCGTCGCCGGGACTTTTTCTCAGCTAGGGGATGCCCGCGACGACACCGGAATACGGAACGAGAGGCAGTTGCAATCATCCAAATTGCTTAAAGGCCTGCGTCCACGATGCTGGAACTCGGTCTAATAGCGAATTCGGTTGCTTGCACTAGTGCGCACTGAGTGCACACTGAGGCTTGTTTACGGGGTCAATTCTTATATTTAAGGATCATCTTAAATACCTCTTGAAATATTTAGCCAGTAAAATGATCTGCACGGTATCCTTGCGGATAATTTTTCTGGCTAAATACTCTCTGAACATGTATTTAAGACAAAGCTAAATGTCAAATTGACTATAAACAGAACTTAGTGTGCACTCGGTGCGCACTAGTGCAAGCAATCGAATTCGTTATAAGTCCTAGTTTCGAGAAATGTGCAGCCAATCAACTTGCAGCGTTTATGGGGACTTTGCACTCCCCAACCAAAGAGTGCAATTTTTACATTTCTTATTTTTGACTAATATGCAAGTTTATTTTTCTTGACATTTATTAAATCACTATAATGCATAGTGTAGTCACTCTCTTGCTTGTATAATGGTATTGGCCAAACAATTAATATGCGATCTTTAACAATCTTGTAACTGGTATGACTTTTATGGTTTGTTTCGTTGTATGTAATCAATTTGTTAAGCAATGTTCGTGCAAAGTTATACGTGATTTCAGATTACTTGATAAGGGTCCAAATCTGGGACCGAAACGTGGTAACGTGTTTTGTTTTTAAAATAAAACCCTTGGCCAGTGTAGGTCGTTAAAATTGGATGTCATTGGGTTTGATGGAATAGTTGCGAGTTGATTGGCTGCACATTTCTCGAAACTAGAACTTGGACCAAGTTCTAGCATCGTGAACACAGGCCTTAAGAACTGCAGAGAAAGTGAATCTTAAAATCGCGAGACTGAAGTTCGATCACAAGGTTCAAGCTGATATTCAAGCGTGGTAAATAAAATTTTCCATTTACCGGCTATTTAATCTCAAAAATTACGTTTAATTCCCTTCTCTCCTAGCGGAAAAAATTTCTATAAATAACTACAAAAATTAACTTAAAATAGAAATTTTGATATCTTCGGTGAAACATGTATTTTCTTGTAAAAATATCTACGAAGTAGTAGCACAAATTACAATGTTCTCAAATCAAGAAATTATTGCAAGTAGTGTTTCATGAAAATGTACAATTTTGTAAAAATTAGTACAAAACTTTACTAGTTAAAAAATTTTGAGAAACAACAAATCTTAATGAATTAAAACAGCTGCTTACTCGTAGAATATTACAAAAATTAAAAGTGTTCAAACTCTAGCGTTTTCAGTTCGATTTTTGTAACACTTTTTAAATTTACGTAAAATTTCTTAGCTTCTGGTAGTTACATTTTAGTTTTGTAGAATTATTTCCGGCAGGGCTTTAATCAAATTCTTTTCCCTCGAGTTTTTAAAAAGGCCTGAACAGGCGATCGAAATATTCGTACTCCCCTGTCGCTTCGCCATAATTTTGATCCTCTCCCACCATCCGCACAATTCGGCTGCTCGTCTAAACGTGACGATTCGCTTTCTCGCCTGGGAATTCGTGACCGCGAACGGCGACGTATAAATAGAATACGTTCTTTCCGCGTCTTTCGTCTCCTTGCTTCACCGCCCATTTCCCCCGACCTTCCTCACTTGCGACACGCGTCTGGTAATTAAGTAGGAGCATGCACTGAGCCGGACGAACAAAAAAAACTTATCGAGGTAGCCGATCTGGAAGTCTAACGACGACCGAAAGCCGTCGAATTAAAAGTCGACGTCGCTTTTTCTCGCAATTAGATAAATAAATTTATATATTTACTTGGCAGTACTATTTATTACACACTGAACTTTCGAAGGCGAGTGCCTGAATTATTTAATATGATAATTTTATTGATAACATCTCCGACTCGCTATATACTTGAATGCTATTATCGATGCCTATCGCCCGCGGATGACGCAACGCTTGAAACGAGAGGAACGTACAGTCGCCGTTCCATGTCACGTAATCGAATTCGGTAATCGCCCCCTGCCGTATTTACTGATAACTGATACTAATAGGCGCGCGCGTCCTCGCGTTCGATCGCGCGGCGAGTCGTTCCGCGCGCGACGCCGTTTCCTCTATTGCAAGACACTGTGTGGTAATTGCGCCAACTACGTAGATAATGTTGCACCGCGGTGGAAGAGGAGAATTGCCCGGCCGATGTTTGCAGTTTAAATATTCGATAGATTCCCGTTACACGCCGACACACTTTTCCGTGGGAATTTTGCGCGGCGACAAAACGGATTGCCCCTCCTCCGCTCCGCCGCGGAAAAAGAGCCTGCGATTATCGGCACGACCGATTTCGCATAAATTTTACCCTTCGCTCGATCGTATTCGCGTAAAACTTTGTATTTTCTTTTTTAACACCACGTGGACCGTTTCCTGCATCTTTGCGATCTCACGGTGCTAATTGCGAAATAATATCTTTAACGCGGGCTGGATCTTATTGATATACCGGCTGGGAATATACACGGAGAGATTTTTCTTTAAAAATTTATCCCGAATCGTGAAAATTTACTAGTAAAATGTACGGCAAAATTTTTAAGAACTGTCATAAAGCTCTTCAAAATGTCAAGTTGTTCCACGCACACACAGAGAAAATGTCCGGGTCCAATGCTATTACACTTGAATGTATAATATCATAAAATAGGATCGATATAGCGCCAATCGCATTCATTACAGAGAAAGGAGTATTTTTATCTTAAATTAAAAATTCTCAAATCTAGAATCATCTTTTGTCGAATATCGTGGTGCCAACTTCGTGCGTTGTAAGATGGAGGGAAAATTTATTCTAAACGCCAGAATATATAAACTTGCATTTATATAAGTTACTCTTGTCTCGATATAGTAAGTCAATATTTTTTAATTCGACGGAGGAGAATAAGAACTATTGAAAACTTTAGTGTATATTTGATCGTATCTGGCATTTATTGTACAAGAATTATTGACTTTATTTTGATATTGTCTTATTTTTACACTAAATGAGGTTGCGCGAAATATAAATGCGTCAAGAATATTTTTTGATTCGGTAACAGAAATCCTTTCTGAGGGTGCGATTACATGATTTTTAAGATAATTTTACTAGTAAAATGTATGGTAAAATTTAAAAAAAACTCCCATAAAGTTCCCCGAAATGCCATGTTGTCCCACTAATTATAATTTCGCTGGTAAAATTTCAAAAAACTCGCCGAAAGTTGTTAAAAATACCATGTCCCACGATTACATGATTTCCAGGATAATATTAAGAGTTAAATTCTCTTCGTGTGGATACGATATATGTGACTCACCCGTGTGTCCAAAATTTCCATTATCTTCTCCTTCGCTGATCGCACGTCATCTAGTCGTCCTGCGACTTTTATGTGCGGATCTGCGAAAAAAAGGTAGAGGATTAAATTACGCCGTGAAAGGCGGCGGCGAGGCTCGCATCTTTATTACGTCGAATAATCAGTTATAATTGACCTCATTAATTACATGCTACATGACTGAGCTTAATTTTGCGCCGGGCAAAATACACGATGAGAGAGGTAACGTCTTTTATTTTTAGCTACCACACATCTCTCAGGAAGCACAGATTTTCTTCCAAAGGAATATTTTTAATATTTTCTACGTGTACATTCTGCTTTTGTCCGTATGTTTTCGGAGTGATCAATATAGCAAGGCCTCGAGCAAATTGAGTTACATTGGAACCACCGACAAGCATTTTGTTCGGCAATGCCTTTCATCAACGCCGTTTCATCGATACCGAGTTTGACCGACACCGACTATGTGTTCGCCGGCATAAACATTTATCGACTCTTGTGTATCGTCGAAAAATTTTGGTTTGTTACGATTTGAAAGCAAAACATCCGCACAAACCGGACGAAATTGTTTCCTTGTTAAAGGTCGACGAACTCACCGCGCTTCGGATGTATGTAACAAAGGCATCGCCAGCGAAGTTATGTATCGATTCAATGAAAATATCGAAGGCGCATTGCAGGATATATACAAAACGTCGGTACGTATTGGCGAACATTTGCACCGCCGAGTATCAAGCCCTCGGTCGATCCTGATATCGGCGAGAAGGCTTGTCGGTGATTTCCGACAGAAATTGCGACGCGCGGGGCCCCGCGAAGACGGGGAGACGCCGCTGACGAGAATTGGCGGCTACATTGAAATCCCGATGTCAATCGACAACTATTTTAAAGTCAATCTTAGTATTCGCGAGGCGCACGCCTGCTTCTTCCTGAACGCGCGAGGCCTTCGACTGTACAACGTGTTCCAAAGTCGAGCGCGATGACGCGTCATTGACGCTGCATAATAATCGCACGTGCGCGTTTCGCTCGCTACTCGATCCTTGTCACGCATGGACGAACTCGATAATTCGTCTACTTACGATGATTATTGAGAATTAGCGATCGATTGTTAAACGTAAATAGATAACACAGGTCTACAAATATTCAACAATTTCATGTTAATGGAATGAAACCAAGGTCATTTTATGTAATTTTAGTCGCTGAATCCGAATCTGGCCTCCGTTTTCTCCCATCACGTCAGAATTTTTAGATATGACCCATTTTTGGTCTTAAGCAAAAAAACGGAAAAATTCAAGTTTGCCCCTAGGCATTTTGTAACTGATAGAGTAAAGGGTATCATGACACATGTTTTCTATTCAGTTTTTCATGCTGATTTCAAGAATGATCGGAAATTTTCAATCACGTTCCGTTTTGAAGACATTAGCGGTAAAGTTGGAAATACGGTGTTTTCGGATGTTTCACATTACTTCTTCCTTTTAGGAAGAATATTATCTGTTATTGAGTTTGACTAGAGTTTGTCTGTGTGTTTTTTTATTTACTTTTCATTCAGTTTCGTTGATTCACCTTTTCGGTTAACAGTCCGAGCTCGCGAGAAACGGTCTCAATCGAGCGAAAGTCGCAAACCTGTGTTCATCTTACTTACGATCGCGAAAGCAGCACTCGTATCACTTTTCATTTTTTGTGCTTTTTTGTTAATTAAATATACCGCTGAAAATAAGTAGTATTTTTCCGTTTTTTGCTCAAGATAAAAAATGGGTCATATCTAAAAATTCTGACGTGATGGGAGAAAACGGAAGCCAGATTCGAATTCAGTGACCAAAATTACATAAAGTGCACTTGGTTTCATTCCATTAACATGACCCTTGTAGACCTGTGTAATCAATGTAGAAAATTGCTAGACGCCTGGCTGGCAAATTCTAATTAAAGAAATTTATTGCGAAAAATATTACCACGTATAATATTTTTTGCAATGAATTTCTTTAATTAGAATTTGCCAGCCAGGCGTCGTCTAGCAATTTTCTACATTGGTCAATCATGTACTGGCTGCAAATGATTTTTTACGTAAATAACATTGCACACACACTCTCTCTCTCTCTGTCGACCTTATATAATTTTCCGTTTTTAAAAAGTTCCGGCGCGCAAGCGGATAATGAGATCTTAATTTTAAATTAATCACAAATGGATTCGCTTCAGCGGAAATTGGGTCGAGTATTCAATCATTAAGATACCGTCGTTGTTTTAATGACGTTTCCCGCAGTGGCACTGCGAATGTATTTCGAGATCTCGAGTCACTGTCGGATTCTATTCCCGAACAGACGGAATATCATCGTCTGCGTGAAGTGAGAAAAATACGTTTTCGGAATTTCACGAAGCAACGATACCATATCGTCCGCGTCGCCAAGTATTCGCGCTTCTTATCTCTCCCGTCTAATTACGTAAGAGAGATACCGTGAAAAATTGCGCGATATCCCATGAAGGGCCCTCAAAAATTAGGGCCCGATCAAATGCCGCGGCGAGGCTCTGCGTGGCGCCTAAGAAAATGCTAGCGTTAGTGCGATTATCTATCAGTCCTCGCGGCACAATTTGCAATTTTATTTTTAGAGTCGACGCGACGGTAGCACGCGGACTCCTCGGTGCACAGACTTTGAGGCCTGACCTGACCTCTTTAGCCGCGCCGAGCATAGAAAGTAGATGAATCCTGTTTGCACAACGCGATAAGGAGTGTCGGCTGCCGTTGCTGTAACACGAGAGGGGCAGGTGTCGGAGGCTCGGCTGATTATCTGAGCGATACAACGTGTTCCTTAATAAAATGCATATATCGCAGTGCTTCGCGATAAATTCTCGCAGGAAGAGAATGCATACGAGGGGACACAATGATAACAGTGAAATATACGAGGATTGCGATAATAACGATCGAGGAGAAGCTAGAACTGTCATTTCAAATTGTAACAATTGTGTGCCTGGGTACATTGAGATTTAATAGTAATCGACAATTTCAAACTATCTCGTGCCGTCGATCTTACCAACGACTGCAATATTTAATAAAGAAAGTCTCGGTTTTAAACAAAGGATAAGAATTGTTCAATGTCGCCAGCGACAATTAAGGGGCTGCTGGAGTGATTCTGCACTTTCGCACCTTTTGCACTTAAAACTGTCTGTTTCGTGGAAAGATTTGTATAATACACAAATTAAATGGCACGTGTACAGATGATCGAAAGCAGCTTGCTATTCCGGCTAAATTAAAGAACAATATGACATCACTGAAACTAAGTTTGTAAGTCTAATAAAAAATAATAGTGAGCAACACACATACTACA